CGTTCCCCGCCGCCTAACACCACTAGGCAGACGGGCACGCGCGAAGGGAAAATATTTCCCAAACAAAATATGCACTTTATTTATTGAGAAAAATTATATGAGGAGTAAAATTGGTCTGTTTTGTTTTTGTTTTTAATTTTTTTTTAAACAAAAATGTTATTATGTAAAGATATATTTATTGAGTAATGATTTTTTTTTTTTGGTATAGGGACCTTCCGGTTTCTGGATCCACAGAAGAACCGACTAATCCAGAATCGAGTCGGGTATGACCACAGGGACGGTAAAGGAACGTGGCAAGTCTTCCCAATATCGAACCTTAATCAACTGCGTACATCCATAATTGGATAATGAATTAAAATTGTTGGTGTTCTTTCGGAAGAGTATCCCAAGTTCGAGAGAGTATCTCGTATTTTTCCCATTCGTTCACGCTTTCGCTACATCAGTTGGTATCCAGAGACCAGGTACGTTCCACGATGCCGCCAATGAGATGAAACACTAACGATTCTACCATCGACGATCGGATTCAAGATATGGATGATCGGTTTGACGAACTTTCTACGGGGATCGAGGAATTACGGGTTTCTATGAGTGCCATGGTGAACAAGGTACATACAAACCGCGAAGGGGCTGATCGGGGTCATCGCGGAGGGATGCGCGGAGGTCGCGGGGGTCGAGTTTATGGCGGGGCGCCCCGCCGACGATCACCACCGCCACCGCTGACCGGTGATGTTTCTAACGAAAATCGGTGGAACAAAATCAGGACCACGCTTTACGGTGGAGTGATGTTTTCGACAAACCTCCATGCAGGGCCGACGATTGGCGAGCGCGTGGCAACCATGGCGCATATGGCGAATTTCGGCGCCACGTCGGAAGGATGATGCGCGGTGGCCAAGGGACCGACGGGGAGGTCTGGTTCGACCGCGATGGTATGGACTCGGACGAGGAAAGGGATGGTTTTACTCCTTATTTTGGACCTGAAAAGCCACAAAGAGGCTTTGACTTCGAGTTTGAAGATTTCCCGGATTTCGAGCTCGACGCGTGCGATATGTACGACGGTCCGCCGATTTTTGTTAAGGAGCCTTCGGTGACAGAGTCGCGTATATGCGACGATATGGGTCCCGTATGGTACGTAGCAGAGGTTGAACCATCGATTCGGTAACTATCGATCGGACCCGATTTCTGGCGTCTCTTGTCCAACGATAGTTTTTGGGAGCCGCAGACGAGGTTTAATAACTGGTGGTCCATTTTCCAACTGTCTATCACGATGTCTCCAACCAACGGGATGCTTGGCAGTAATTATGAATTTGAGCGCGGCGACCGTTGTGGTATGTTTGATGTTAAATATGTTGTGTGGGATATGCGTATGGAGGCATGTACATGTGCCTTTGCATTAGCTCATTCTTTGCCCAAGCTTATGTTTACCTTCGGTGTTGTTGTGCGTTCTTCAAGCTTCGTGTTCGATCGAGGACGGAGCGAGACACACTTCTCCAACGAAAACGGGTCGGATTCGAGGCCGAATCCTACTCCACTGGGGGAGAATGATGGAGAATATATATGATTAAAATTATTATTATTATTATTATTATTATTATTATTATTATTATTATTATTATTATTATTATTATT